GCGGGGCCGCGGGGGGGCGCGGGTGGACGGACGGACGGACACGGGGATGGACAGAGGGACACGGGGATGGTGACGGGGATGGACACACGGACAGACAGAGGGACACGGGGATGGATAGACGGACACGGGGATGGACACACGGACACGGGGATGGACAGACGGACACGGGGATGGGCACAGGGACACGGGGATAGACACACGGATGGACAGAGGGACACGGGGATGGACACATGGACGGACGGACACGGGGAGGGACAGACAGACACCGGGATGGACACTGGGACGGACAGGCGGACGGGGGGAATGGACACACGGACAGACAGACAGGCACTGGGATGGACACAGGGACACGGGGATGGACAGACAGACAGACAGGCACTGGGATGGACACAGGGACACGGGGATGGGCACGGGGACATGTAGATGGACACACGGAAAGACAGACGGACAGGGGAATGGACGCACGGACGGACAGACGGACATGGGGACACGGGGATGGAGACAGGGGTGGACACCAGGATGGACAGACGGACACGGGGATGGACACACGGACACACTGGGGAGCACTGGGGGGGCACTGGGGGGCACTGGGGGTTACTGGGAGTTACTGGGGGGAACTCGGGGTTACTGGGAGGGCACTGGGGATTACTGGGAGTTACTGGGAGGGCACTGGGGGGACACTGGGAGTTACTGGGAGTTACTGGGGGGGTCCCAGGCCCCGCCCCCGGCGCGGGGAGGCGTGGCCACGAGGAGAGGGGGCGTGGCCTCCTTGATTGACGCTTGTCGCAGGGGGAGGGGGCGTGGCCCAGCGCGAGGGGCGGGGCTCCGCGTGCGCACCGCACCGGGCTACAGCGGGCGGTGGTGGGAACGGGGGGATCCCTGCGGGGCGGGGGAGGGGGCTGGGCCGTGGTGGGGAGGCCCCGGTGGGCTTGGGGGTCCCGGTTACCGTGAGGGATCCCCGTGAGGGGTCCCGGTGACCGTGAGGGGTCCCGGTGACCGTGAGGGGTCCCGGTCACTGTGAGGGGTCCCCGTTACTGTGAGGGGTCCCCGTTACCGTGAGGGGTCACCGTGAGGGATCCTCGTTACCGTGAGGAGTCCCCGGTTACCGTGAGGGGTCACCGTGAGGGGTCCCGGTCACCCTCAGGGGTCCCCGTTACTGTGAGGGGTTCCTGTCACCGTGAGGGGTCCCGGTCACCCTCAGGGGTCCCCATTATCGTGAGGGTTCCCCGTTACTGTGAGGGGTCACCGTGAGGGATCCCGGTCACCGTGAGGGCTCCTGGTGACCGTGAGGGGTCCCTGTTACCATGAGGGATCCCGGTTACCGTGAGGGCTCCCGGTCACCCTCAGGAGTCCCAGTTACCGTGAGGGGTCCCCGTTACTGTGAGGGGTTCTTGTTACTCTCAGGAGTCCCAGTTACTGTGAGGGGTCCGTTCTCGTTACCCTGAGGGGTCCCTGTTACCGTGAGGGGTCACCGTGAGGGATCCTCGTTACCGTGAGGAGTCCCCGGTTACCGTGAGGGGTCACCGTGAGGGGTCCCGGTCACCCTCAGGGGTCCCCATTATCGTGAGGGTTCCCCGTTACTGTGAGGGGTCACCGTGAGGGCTCCCGGTCACCCTCAGGAGTCCCAGTTACCGTGAGGGGTCCCCGTTACTGTGAGGGGTTCTTGTTACTCTCAGGAGTCCCAGTTACTGTGAGGGGTCCCGGTCACTCTCAGGGGTCCCCGTTACCCTCAGGGGGTCCCGGTCACCGTGAGTGGTCCCAGTCATTGTGAGGGGTTACTGTGAGGGGTCCCCGGTTAGTGTGAGGGGTCACCGTGAGGGGTCTGTTTACTGTGAGGGATCCCCGTTACTGTGAGGGGTTCTCGTTACCCTCAGGGGTCCCGGTTACTGTGAGGGGTCACCGTGAGGGGTCCTGGTGACCATGAAGGGTCCTGGTCACCCTCAGGGGTCCCTGTCACCCTCAGGCGTCTTGGTTACTGTGAGGGGGTCACCGTGAGGGGTCCCTGTTACTGTGAGGGGTCCCGGTCACTCTCAGGGGTCCTGGTCACCCTCAGGGGGTCCCTGTCACTCTCAGGGGGTCCTGGTCACCATGAGGGGTGGGCTCCGATGCCTGTGGAGGTCGCTGTCCCTGAGGGAGGGTCCTTGATCCTTAGGGGAGTGAGACTTCTTTGGTCCCTAGTTCCTCTTGGGGGTTTCCAGTTCCTTTTGGGGCTCTCTGGTGTCTCTTGGGGGTCCCTAAACCCCCGAGGGGGTCTCTCCCTGTCCCCCACCCTTCCCCTGACCCTGGGGGTCTCTCCCCACCCAGAGCTCCCCCCAGTACCCCCCTGACCCCCAATCTCCGCTCTCTCCCCACAGGACCCTCCGGACCCTCGGCCGCGCTCCCAGCCCGGGGGGGCCCCTCGGCACCCCCCGCCCCGACACCCCCCAATGCGCTGCCCGGCCCGGGGGGGCCCCCCCGCCACCTGAGGGGGGGCAGGGCCGTTTGTGTGCCCCCCCGGCCCCCCCAGCCATGATGTTCCGGGACCAGGTGGGCATCGTGGCGGGCTGGTTCCGCGGCTGGAGCGAGTGCGAGCAGACGGTGGCGCTGCTGGCGCTGCTGAAGCGCGTGACGCGCACGCAGGCGCGCTTCCTGCAGCTCTGCCTGGAGCACTCGCTGGCCGACTGCCCCGACATCCACCTGCTGGAGGCCGAGGCCAACAGCGCCGGTGAGGGGCTGGGCACGGGGTCTGGGGTCCTGGGGGTGTTTTAGAGGGCTTACAGGAGTCCTGGGGCAGTTACAGGGGGGCTACAGGGAGGTTCCTGCAGCTGTGCCTCGAGCACTCGCTGCCCCAGAGGCCGAGGCCAACAGCGCCGGTGAGGGGCCGGGCACGGGGCCTGGGGGGTGTCAGGGGGGTTACAGGGGTCCTGGAGGAGTTACAGGGGTGTTATGGGTGTCCTGGGGTAGTTACAGGGGGGTTACAGGAGTCCTGACGGTGTTAGAGGGTGTTACAGGGGGGTTATGGGGGTCCTGGGGGTGTTACAGGGGGGTTACGGGGCTGTTGGGGCAGTTACAGGGGGGCTGCAGGGGTCTTGGGGCAGTTACAGAGCGTTACAGGTGTCCTGGAGGTGTTATAGAGGGGTTACAGGGGGGTTACGGGGGTCCTGGCCGTGTTATAGGGGGGTTACGTGAGGATAGGGGGGTCCTGGAGGGGTTACAGAGGGTTACAGGAAGGTTACGGGGGTCCTGGAGATGTTACAGGGGGGTTACGGGGGTCTTGGGGCAGTTACAGGGGGGTTCCTGCAGCTGTGCCTCGAGCACTCGCTGCCCCAACATCCACCTGCTGGAGGCCGAGGCCAACAGCGCCGGTGAGGGGCTGGGGATGGCGTTTGGGGGGGTCCTGAGGGTCTTACGGGGATCCTGGAGAAGTTATAGAGGAGTTACAGGGGGGTTACAGGGGTCCAGGAGGGGTTACAGCGGGGTTACGGGGCTGTCAGGGGGTCTGGGGTGTTACAGGGGTCCTGGGGGGGTTACAGGGGTCTCTGGGGTCCCTTGTGTCTGCCCAGAGGTGTCATGGGGGCCTCAGGGGTTCCCTGTGTGTTCCTGTCCCCAGTGGCCATCTCCTGGTGGCCCTCTGTGTCCCATGTGTGTCCCACGTGTGTCCCACATGTGTCGGGTGTGTGTCCCCTGTGTCCCTGTCCCCAATTGCCGTGTCCCATTGGCTCTGTGTGTGTCCCTGCTGGTCCTGTGTGACCCTGTGTGTGACCCCGTGTCCCTGCTGGCCCTCTGTCCCCTGTGTGTGTCCCTGTGTGTCCCTGCTGACCCTGTGTGTGTCCCTGTCCCCAGCTGCCATCTCTCAGTGGCCCCAGGAGCCCGCTGAGGCGGCCGTGGCGCTGCTGCTGGCCCACCTGCCGCTGCTGCTGGCCGTGCTGACCCTGTGTGTCCCTGCTGGCTGTGTGTGTCCCTGGGTGTCCCTGCTGGCTGTGTGTGACCCTGTGTCCCCTCTGTCCCCAGCTGCCATCTCGCAGTGGCCCCAGGAGCCCGCCGAGGCGGCCGTGGCGCTGCTGCTGGCCCACCTGCCGCTGCTGCAGCCCGGCAACGCGGCGGCCAAGGCGGAGTACATGAAGCGGCTGCAGAAGGTGCTGGCCGACGCCATCGAGAGCAACCGCTGCGTGGAGGAGTCGCGGCAGCTGCTGTCCTACGCGCTCATCCACCCCGCCACCACGGCCGACGACCGCAGCGCGCTCGCCCTGTGGCTGGGGCACCTGGAGGAGCGCCTGGCGCCGCCGGCGCCGCGCCGCGCCCACAGCGTCAGGGGGGCTTCAAATGGTTCTGGAGGGTTCAAGGGGCTTGGGGGAGCTTCAGGGGGCTTTGGGAGGGGTTCAGGGGCTTTGGGGGGCTCGGGGGGTGCGGTGCTCTGACGGAGCCCCCCCAGACGTGCCCTCGTGGCTGAAGAGCCTGCGGCTGCACAAGTACGCGGCGCTGTTCGCGCAGATGAGCTACGAGGAGATGATGACGCTGACCGAGCGGCACCTGGAGACGCAGGTGGGACTGGGGGCGCTGGGAGGGACTGGGGGGCACTGGGAGAATGGCTGGAACATCTTGGGGGCACTGGGAGGGACTGGGAGGGGACACTGGGGTGCCCAGGAGCGGCTGGAGCATCCTGGGAGGGACTGGGGGACACTGGGCTGGCGTTGGGGGGTCCCCGGTGTCCCCAGGGCTGGTGGGGAGGGGTCCATGACAGCCGTGGCCCCCCCAGAGGGGGCAGTGACCCCCCCAAAGGGCCCAGTGATCCCCCCCCAGCCCCGTGTGACCCCCCCGGTGTCCCCTGTCCCCCCAGAACGTCACCAAGGGCGCGCGGCACAAGATCGCCCTGAGCATCCAGAAACTGCGGGAGCGGCAGAGCGTGCTGCGGGCGCTGGAGAAGGTTCTGGAACTGGGGAAATGGGGGGGAATGGGAGGGACTGGGGGAACTGGGGGCTGCGGGCGCTGGAGAAGGTTCTGGAAACTGGGGAAACGGGGGGGGCTGTGGGCGCTGGAGAAGGTTCTGGAAACTGGGGAAACGGGGGGGGCTGCGGGCGCTGGAAAAGGTTCTGGAACTGGGGGAAATGGGGGGATTGGGAAGGACTGGGGGGCACTGGGCTGCTCTGGGAGGGTTCCCAGTGTCCCCAGGGATGGAGGGGGGACAGTTCCCAGTGTCCCCCCCGTGTCCCTCTGTCCCCCGTGTCCCCCATGTCCTGACACGCCCCCCGTGTTCCTCTGTCCCCTCCATGTCCCCTCCATGTCCCCCTGTCCCCCTGTACCCCCCCAGGCGTTCACGGAGACGCAGAAGAAGCGGCTCCAGTCCTGGAAGCAGCAGGTGCTGAAGCTGCTCCGCGCCTTCCCCAAGAAGGGGCCCCTGGACGGCCCCCCCGGCTACCGGCCCCCCAAAAGGTACCTGGGGAGGGGGCTCCGGGACCCCCCTGGGGTGTTGGACCCCCCCTTGGCGCAGAGGCCCCTCCCCAAAATCCCCATTTCCATCCCACCCTTCACTGCTGACCTGCATGGGGTTTGGGGGCTGCTTGGGACCCCCCCCAAATGCCCAATTCCCCCGGGGAGGGGTCTCTAGGAGCCCCCCCCGTGCTGTTGGACCCCTCTCCAGTGCTGCTAGACCCCCCCCAGTGGTGCTGGACCCCCCCATGGCACGGAGACCCCTCCCCAAAATCCCCATTTCCATCCCGGGTCCCGCTGCTGCTCTGGGTGGGGTTTGGGGGCTGCTTGGGACCCCCCCAAATGCTCAATTCCTGCCCCCCCGCCCCAATTTTGGGGGGTCTGACCCCCCCCCCGTGGGTTGTGCACAATCCCTACCTTGGGGGGGCTCAGGGGGTCGCCCACCCCCCGAAGTTTGGGGAGGTTTGGGGTGATTTTGGGGTTTCTGCTCTTCCCTCCCGGGGATTTTTCCTCAATTCCCAATTTGGGGGGGGTCTAAGGGATCCCATTTCCCAATTTGGGGAGGGGTCACACAGCCCCCCCCCATTTCCCTTTCCCCCGATTCAGGGGGGGCTGTTCCCGCCCGGGGGGGGCTCTGGGGGGGTCGCAGCCCCCTGGAGGGGGGAGTAAAGGCGTGGGGGGAGACCCTAAATTGGGGAGGGGGGAATGGGGAGAGGGACCCGAGGAGGGGGAGGCCCCAAAAGGGGGAAAGAGACTCTGAAATGGGGAGAAAGACCCGAAATTGGGGAGAGAGACCCGAAATTGGGGAGAGAGATCCCAAATTGGGGAAAGAGACCCTAAAATGGGGAGAGGGACCCTGAAATGGGGAAAGAGACCCCAAATTTGGAAAGAGACCCCTGGGGTGGAGTCGCTGTCCCAAAAATGGGGAAGTGACCCCAAAATGGGGAGAGGGACCCCAAAATGGGGAGAGGGACCCCAAATTTGGAAAGAGACCCCAAAATAGGGAGAAAGATCCCAAAAATGGGGAAGTGACCCCAAAATGGGGAGAGGGACCCCAAAATGGGCAGAGTGGCCCCACAATTGAGCTGGGGGCGGGGCTCAGGGCGCTGGGGGGTTTTGGGGTGGGGGATTTTTTTGGGGGGGGTCTGCTCTGACCCTTTTTTTTGTCCCCCCTCTCTCAGAGTGTCCCCCCCCCGGGACAGACCTGGAGATCAACCCCACGCTGGAGTCGCTGTGTCTGAGCATGACCGAGCACGCCCTGGGCGGTACGGGGGGACAATGGGGACATCGGGGACAGTGAGGGGACACTGGGGACATTGGGGTGGAGTCGCTGTGTCTGAGCATGACCGAGCACGCCCTGGGCGGTACGGGGGGACAATGGGGACATCGGGGACAGTGAGGGGACACTGGGGACATTGGGGTGGAGTCGCTGTGTCTGAGCATGACCGAGCACGCCCTGGGCGGTACGGGGGGACAATGGGGACATCGGGGACAGTGAGGGGACACTGGGGACATTGGGGTGGAGTCGCTGTGTCTGAGCATGACCGAGCACGCCCTGGGGGGTACGGGGACAAAATGGGGACACTGGGGACACTGAGGGGACATTGGGGACATTGAGGGGGACATTTGGGACACCAAGGGAACATTGGGGACACTGGCGGGGGGGACATGGGGACACCGAGGGGACACAGGGACAATGGGGGGACAGTGGGGACATTGGGGGGACACAGAGGGGGACATTGCGGGGGGACGCTGGGACACAGCGAGGGACACTGGGGGGACATTGGGGGAAATGGGGACACTGGTGGGGGGGACATGGGGGACTCAGGGGAGGAACGCCGGGGACATTTGGGGTCACTGAGGGGACATTGGGGACACAGCAGGGACATTGGCAGGGACACGGGGACAACGGGGGGGGGGACACCCAGGGACTCTGGGGAGGAGCTTTGGGGACATTTGGGGACACGGGGGGGGTACAAGGAGGAGGGGCACAGAGGGACCCCCGCGGGTTTTGGGGACCCCCCTGACCCCCCCATTTCCCCCCCCAGACGGCACAGACAAAACCTCCACCATCTGACGGCGGGGAGGGGGCTTTGGGATGGGGGGATTTGGGTGGGAAATGGGGATTTGGGATGGGGGATTTGGGGATGGATTTTGGGGCAGAATTTGGGGAGGGGGATGTGGGGTGAGAAATGGATTTGAGGAGGGGGACTTGAGAGGATTTGGGGAGGGGGAATCGAGGAGGGGAATCTGAGGAGGGGGATTTTGGGGAGGGAGACTTTGGGGAGGGGGTCTGGGGTCCGCACCCGAGGCCGCCGCTTCCTTCTCGGCCTCCATCTCCTCCTCCTCCTCCTCCTCGGGCTCGTGGTTCTCCAGCTGCGCCCGCCGCGCCTCCTGTGGGGGGGAGGGGGCTCAGGGGGGGTCCCGGGAGGGTCCTGGGGGCCGGGACCCCTCCCCAAATCCCACCTGGGCCTCGAGCTCCTTCTCGTTCATGTCGCGGTGCTTCACCACCAGCACGGCGTTGGTGCCCGAGGGGGCCCCGGCCCGCGCCCGGCGCTTGCTCAGCCGCACCCTGCGGAGAGGGGAGGGGGCTCAGAGACCCCCGAGATGGACCCGAGAGACCCCCAGGGCAGCCCCGAACCCCCTGAACCCCGAGAGACCCCCGGGACAGCCCCAAACCCTGAGAGACCCCCGGGACAGCCCCAAACCCCAACTGTGCCCCGGCCCGCGCCCGGCGCTTGCTCAGCCGCACCCTGGGGAGAGGGGAGGGGGCTCAGAGACCCCCGAGATGGACCCGAGGGACCCCCGGGACTGCCCCGAACTCTCAGGGACAGCCCAAAGGGTGCCCCCCAGTCCCCCCCAATTCCCCCCAGTCCGTCCCAGTCCCATTTCCAGTCCCCCCAGTTCTCTCAGTCCATCCCAGTCCCCCCAGTTCTCCAGTTCCCATTCCCAGTTCCCAGTTCC